AGGTACACACGTGTGTTGTCCCTGTGTGTGCCCACCTTCGTGTTCCTGTTGCTGACGTACACACGCGCAATTTCCTCCTCTGCTCTGGTGAGCGTTATAAAACGATTAAGCACCGAGTTACATCAACAGACAGCTGATTCGGGCTACGTGACGGTCAATCGGCCGTTTCTGTCGATTCGTCATCCCTTTCCTGAATTAAATTCTAGCTATGATATAGACAGAGAAAGGGAAAGGGAAGACAGAAGCAGATCCAACGGTTTCAACAACCTCGGCTAAATCTAACCGTGGCTTAAGTTATCGCGTATATTCTCGTCACACATTCGACGTTAAACGTGCCTCCTATATGTGTATCTCTCATCTCGTACAAACATTGAACGTCGTCATCCTCGCGTACTAGATAACAGAGAGAAACTAAGGTGTAACGTCGCGATATTTAATTCATTATTTATTAATTACGTGGCGAGAATATGAATCCTTGCTCCTAAAAAGACACGTAGAAGTCAGTTAAACCATAGAGTTAAGATTGATTGAAACCGGAATCTGAAAATAACCATACATAGGGGTAGCTCGATAAAAGCTTCATCTGTCGGTGCAACACCGGGTCTTAAAATCTGAGAAACGCGAAAGATATTCGGAGGAAAATTGCTCTAAAGGAGCCACACACTGCGGTGAACACGATGATTATACGTACTATTTTGTTACCTACTACTAATATTTACATGAAACGCTTGGCACTCGCATGCGCGCGAGTCGTAAACACGTCGGTTAAAGCTTCCCGCAGGTGCAACAAACCCCCCTGCCAATCGGGGGGCCAATTGGAAAAGAGACGAGCGTCAACAAATTAAATTGCACACACGAAATATATTCTGCAACAAGCGATTTCATTCGCGATAAACTGCTTGTACTTATTAGATAAAGCGAAAAAAAATTTTATATACGCGCGCAAACGTATAAAGAGAGTACAAGAAATTGTTATGCTGCAGTTGCACTGTACTGCACTTCTGCATTTTATTATACAATTACTTATTACTGGAATAGTTCAACCTTCCGGGAACTATTCGCTTCGTGCACTCGGTGTACGATGTAGATATTATTTGCGGAGGAACATAATTCCACGTTTCTTATATAATGATAAATTATATTTTCGTGAGCAATTGATGTTCGCGCGATTCCATCCAATTAAACATAAAATTACAATTGCAAATCTGAATTGAAAATTATTGTCCTTTGATCTCGAACGATAACTGTGCACTCTGTATCATCAATGAACTATATTTGATCGTGATATAAGATTATACTTTCGCGTAAGAAATAGAAACTCTTTTTATCACGTTATAACATACGTTCTTGATGTGCCTACGTTGTTATTGACACGGCTCTTAATATCGCAAGCCGCCGGTCGATATTTGCTGGAAACAAATGGTCGAGATCCTACCTTGCTAAGAACGTCGAAAATCGTTATCGAACGTATAATCAAGAATGCGATAATTATCCTGTCGTCCTATTTTTATATCGAATGAAATATTTACATATCATTCAATAAAAAAATATTACTTGTCTCCCCTGATTAAAGTATCGATAATTACTTTGAAAGCTATTTTCATCTACATTATATCGCAATTAGGAATATAGCATTTAATGAAAATTCGTCGTGGCTGACATGTGAGAAAATTATAATAAAAAAAAATTAAAGAAAATATCGTTACTCGTGCAATGAAATATAAAATCAATACTGATAATTAATTCTTCCCAAGAATAATCGTACATGTGACAAACATAGACTAGACTTGATTATTATTTCTCACGATCGATGCAAAACGACGCGAATTTTCACGGGGATGCACGCTCTGTCACGATGTGACCCTCTCAAATATTCTAATTGTTATCTTTCAAGAAGTTTTTCTTCTCCGACATATAGTTTTCTATAAACATCAAGCGAAAAATGTTACCTTGATAATTGGTTATCGCGTGAATTAATCTTCGTGACGAATCATTTGTATTTATGGTAATGGCGATTCGCACACATCTGTTTTATACATGTATTTATGCGCGTCATAAATGCGATCTTATATAGAAGTGACATCTAAAGGGCCGCAAATATGGCATCCAAGTTTCAAAATTATTCGTGACAAAACTCGCGTGACATTATTAAAAGATTTATATATATATATATATATATATATATCTAGCTCTCCCTCTCTCTCTCTCTCTCTTCTAAGGTCATCTCTTTCTAGTTTACATTTTATCAAATTCTGACAGAAAACTCTGCACGGTATTATATATAGATGTTTGCTAATGGATAGCTACTTTAATTTGAAATATCAATATTGGACTTGGATCAATTGTCGGAAAGAAATCGAAAGCTGTTAGCAAACGTCCTATAACTTTATGATGTAATTATCTAAATCGAATAAAAAAAAGAAATGCGGGCGAAATATTGATTGCGGAGGACAAAAGTTAAATTAAACCGCAACAATGCAATTTCTCGAATATATTGGCTCCGTGTTGTGCAAAGAAAATGCAAATTCTCATTAAATTCCGAGCCGAGATAGGTATTGTAATAGTTTCATAACGTAATGCGATATGCGATTAAATCCATCGATGTGCGGTTATCTGAAGATGAATTAATACAATTGCGGATAAAGGTAAATCCAACTTATCGAGCTGAATATGCGGTAGTCAACTACCATCTGAATAAATTATCTGAAGATGCTTAAAATTGTTATTGACGGTTGCGATTAATATCTCGACAATGTAAACTGGTTCAATAACCACTGAAAGATAACCGCGACTTGCTATAAAAAAAGTTGTTGAAAAAAACAATCTCGATTTGACAAATCGGATTAAGATTTTCTTTTAAAAACATTGTCATATATTCGAATATAGGACAATTGTATCTTTTTTAATCAGAAACCAAATATGAACTCTCTTCTAGTTTCAAGATATAAATTATATGCATTCGTATTAAAATACATCACACATATTAAATCCGTTTGCCACGAATAAAATTCAATTGCCAAGATACCTGAAAATGCTTTTAGAATCCATGATATTTATAATCAATTTCGTAATGAATAAAATTGTCAGATTGTCTGTAATTAGACTATGCATAATTCGTACAAAATTCAAACAGTATGAAATTAAAAAGTATAAAAAGCTCTATAATTCCATATATGTTTACAACATATATGTTTACACGATTGTCACTATGAATTTACATAATTAAGGCGAGTAACAACGAAAATTTCCGCGATATGTAATTAAAGAACTAAGAATAATAGAATAAATCTTAACCACAAAATGTAAGTGAAAAACACGCGAAATTAAAGCAAATATTTTATTGCTTTTATCGCGATTGTTGTAATATTTGAAGAATGATTAAAGAAATTCTCGAAGAACTGTTATATTAATACAATTATGACAAAAGTGTTTGGTTCTATTATTAAAATGTTGGTTCTATTATTCTCAGTGCTTCGTTATTTCTTGACACACGCGGGCGTATAACGCGTATGTGCAAGCGCAATTGCATATCGCGTCAGCCAAGATCTCATTATTTGAAAATCTCGTCACGAAGCCGCGCCAAGTGCTTCACTTATTTCGCTGCAACTCGCACAGTTATGTCATTTTTTCTCTCATTCTAATTCCTTCATAACATCGCGACGTGTGCAAACCAACGGCGTGTACATTCGTATATATAGAGATAGAAATGACACACATACACACACACATATACATATATATATGTATATATATGTATGTATGTATATATAAACATAAAGTCCCCCTCTTTCCCCCCACTTTGATCTGCTCTCTCACTCGCGAAATTACACTCGCACGTGCAACGGATGCTTTGCTTATTTTTTCGCATTTCACATCTCATGAACCGGATATTGCAGAAGCTCACGATGATCCTCCTTCATCAATCAGCTGATCACTAGTGGTCGTAATCTAATGAATTATTAGTAAAATTCTGTTCTCGTTTATAACGCGCGGAAAAATCATCAACAACATTAAGAATGCAAGTTTTCAAAAAAAAAACTTATTTAATATAATTGAATAATTTATTTCCGAGCAAATATTTACAAGATTTTGTTTGTTTTTTTCCTTTTATTTTACACAAGTCCGACAGTCTACAATAATTACGATGACCATATTTTCTGAGAAAATAAAGGACAAACTTGAAAATTTTAGGACTTTCTTTCATCATGTTTCCAAATCAGCTTGCGAGTGGAGATCGTCGAACAAAAAAAAACAATTTTTATATTTTTATATATTTTGAAACTGATTCGACTATGTTGAAACAAATCCTTGGTTTCTTAAATAGATTCCATTGCACTAATATTCTCATATTACGACATTAGGCATTAAAACGCTAAATAAAAAATAAACAAGGACAAGGTACTTGAAATAAAGGACGAATGATTACCGTAAGTATAATAGAATCGGGAGTTCATTCGACTTGAAACGCGAGAGAAGCTCGCGGAAATCTCAGATCGATATTAGACGCGCGACAGACGAGGCGCAAGTTCAACTCGCTCGCGAATGCTTAAAGGGATAGAAAAGTTTCGTAACGTCGGTCGCACTTACATACCGCATTTTCTCCGCATTGTCCGCGCGCGTGTTAACCCATCGCCCCGTTGAATCGATCCTCCTCCTCCTAAGCCGGCCACGTCGCGCTGCTGGCGTGTGCCCAATCCAATTCCGACTGATCGTTTTACTCATTAACGAAACTTCGCGCACCGATATTGACGTCACGCGCGAAAGTGTTTTGCGTCGTCGTGTCTCGAGTAGCCGGTCTCGAGAGCGCGCGGATCTTGTTCGAGAGGAAGAGAGAGATGATCGCTCGCGCGTGGCTAATGCAATGTTCGATCGTGTAATCGCGGCCACCATTGCCATTAGCTTCCAATCGAGTAATCTTTACGTCGACACGCTTCGTTAGCGCCTGCGATGCTTATTAATTCGCCATCGATTTAGTATTTTTTACCGTGCCCTACATTATACGCCGATACTCTTCTGCCGATGTATTCTTTTTTTTTTGTTTCTGGTCGTCGAGATCGCTAATCGCGCAGTTATACTTTATTGAAAATGATAGTAAAACTTGAAAGGATTTAAGAGTCTCATGACACGATGATATTTCGACGATTACACCCGCGGTTTACGAGGAAGCTGTTAACGCGATTTAAACTGTTTACAGCTCTTGATAGCTCCTCGTGTCTTCCAATATTGATATTGTAATAAAGATATTCCTATGCCAATAGAGTAACTGGAATATGATATCGTGTTACTGGGTTCTCTTTCTTCCCTATATATACGATTCGGGATGACAAGTATTTCTCTGTATGTTTGCACATTCATCTTAGAGAATTAATGTTTACATTATCTTTCAAGATAATATGTAAATAAAAATGATCGGAAATGCTGAGAAACCGTAATAGTAATCGAAAGTTGGAAATATTCCTATGCCAACAGTAACCGGAATATGATATTATTGGACTCTTTCTTTCGTATACGATGATTCGAGATGACACAAGTATCTCTGTACGTTTGCATTATCTCCCAAAATAATATTTGAATTATCTTGGAAGATAATGCAAATAAAAACATCATCGGAAATGCTGGGCAAGAGAAACCGTAATAGTAATCGGAAGTTGAAAATATTCTTATGCCAATAAGAACCGAAATATGATATCATTGGGCTCTCTTTCGTATTAAATGATTCGAAATGTGAAGCACCTCTCTCTCTCTCTCTCTGTACGTTTGCACATTCATTTTAGAAAATTAACGTTTGCATTATCTTCCAAGATAATATTTGCAATTATTTTGGAAGATAATGCAAACGTTAATTTTCAACGAGAATGACATGCTGTGCAAAAGAAACCGTAATAATAATCGAAAGTTGAAAATATTCCTATGCTAATAGTAACCGGAATATGATATCACTTGGGCTCTCTTTCTTTCGTATTAAATGATTCGAAATGACAAGTACCTCTCTCTGTACGTTTGCACACTCATCTTAAAAAAATTAACATTTGCATTATCCACCGAGATAATGCAAGTAACAACATCATCGGGAATGAAATGCTGTGCAAGGGAAATCGTAATAATCGGAAGTTGATCGCATGCGGATGCAGCGTCACCGCGATGATGGACACGTCCGATTTGTTTCACGTATATACATGTAGAGAAATATTTCTCACACGAAAATACGTAAATTTTACCGCGGATATAAAGAAACTATATATGTATATAAATGATATATACCGTCTCCTCCAATTGGCCCGTCACGGCGCGATCGATGAGAAAAACGTATTTTATATATAAATTATCTCATAATTATTATGTGTATATGTATATGTGTACGTGTGTGTGACGACTAGTTATATATAAATATGAATCGTACTCACACGGGGAGAGTACGCAGATCATTCTCTCTCTCTTGCTTTCTCACTCACTCTCTTTCTCTCACTCACAACGAATAGAGAGGATAAGAGACAAATAGTAGACAACGAACGATGCACGATATGACTCGTTTCACAGTACGCTAGTACGGTATCTCTCTCTTGATTCGTGTGTGTAATGCAAGGATAAACGGAATAGACGAGCGGGGGAGGAACTATCGAAGGGTTGAAGGACGCTGGAAAGGAGGGAAACGTCATTCGCAAAGGACAACAACAGACTATATGTACAAGGTAACTTCGTGGTACGGTGATATTTCCGATACTACTAGTTAATCATTGAGAATAAACTTTACAGGTGGCCTCTCTTCCCTCTGTAAACCGGATCATAAAGCTGTCTTGAATAGACAAGAGTGGGGAGAAAAGGGAGAAATGAGTAGGAAGAGAATATGAAGATGTCGAAGGGACACACACATATATGTATATATATAGTATACAGCCGTTATTTATGTTATCAATGAATCGATTGACCGGCTAAAAAAACAGATTTCTCCATGTAAAAAGTATGATACTGGCGTATGACGTCTACTACACACATACGTAACAACCGAAAATTATATCTGTGCATCTAATTAATTTCTGGATGCCCGACGCCGGCGTCCCTTTTATCATCTCGTTTCTCTTTTCCTTCTCTTTATCCAAGTTCAGTCGCGAAAAACGCGCGAATTGCCACGTGCCGTATCTTTCTCTTTCTCTCTCTCTTACTCTCCCTCACACACACTCTTTCCCTCTTTAACACATTCCTTACGCGAGAAACTTCATCTCGAAAATCTCCGTTTCGCGTCGTCGAGAGCTTTGGTTACACGCGAATGCGCTCGCACGCGCACACACATTCATCCTTCTCTCTTTCTCACCTTCTCTCTCTTACTCTCTCTATCTCTCTTTCTCACCTTTCTCTCTCTTACTCTCTCTATCTCTCTTTCGAAAGAAGCGAATCACCAACGTGGCGGCGACGACGACGACGACGACGACGACGACGACGACGACGACGACGACGACGACGACGACGACGACGACGACGACGACGACGACGACGACGACGACGACGACGACGACGACGACGACGACGACGACGACGACGACGACGACGACGACGACGACGACGACGACGACGACGACGACGACGACGACGACGACGACGACGACGACGACGACGACGACGACGACGACGACGACGACGACGACGACGACGACAACGACGACGACGACGACGACGACGACGACGACGAGGCAGACGCGACTACGACGATCCACCTCCTGTGTTACGAGCAACTTGCCAAGCAGACGCCGCGTTCAAAACTCGGCAAACTCCTTGGCGCACTTCTCCGTCAGCGAGATTCTCAAGGTCTCCTCTTCGTAATCGTCAAAGTTGCTGGTGTCGCCTGGTCCCTTGCAGCGCGGTATGAACGGCGCCTCTATTCGCTTCTGGAAGACGGCTATCCAGTCGGTGCTGGCGAACCACTTGTGGCCCTTAATGTCGTTCACGCCCGCTTTGAGGTTGCCGTACCTCTTGGTGAGGTCGACCTGCAGCAGGTTGCGCAGCAGATCCTTCAGGTCCGAGCCAAAGTGCGAGGGAAAGCGTGGCTTGCCGCTCACAATCTTCTCGTAGATTTGAATCGGCTGATCGGCGAAGAACGGGGGATATCCCGCTGCCATCTCGTAGACGAGAACACCCAGGGCCCACCAGTCCACAGCCTTGTTGTAGCCCTTGCTCAGGATGATCTCGGGCGCCAGATACTCCGGCGTGCCGCAGAGGGTCCACGTCCGACCCTGTACCCTCTTGGCGAAGCCAAAGTCGGTGACCTTCAGGTAACCCTGCGAGTCGATCAACAGATTCTCCGGCTTCAGATCCCGGTAGATCAGATCTAGGTAATGGAGATACTCGAACGCTAGGACGATCTGAGCCGCGTAAAAACGCGAGTGCGGCTCTGAGAAGCGGCCAACTTTGCGCAGGTGGCTGAACATCTCGCCACCGGGGACGTATTCCAACACCATGTACAGATAGGAGTTGTCCTTGAAGTGGAAGCGCAACGATACGAGGAACGGAAAACTGATCGCCTGCAGTATCCTCTTCTCGTTGAGGGTGTGCTCCACTTGCTTCAGCTTGACGACCTTTTGTTTGTCGAGTATCTTCATGGCGTAATACTCCTTGGTAGGTTTGTGCTGGACAATCATCACGCGGCCGAATGAGCCGGTACCCAGAGTCTTGATGCGTTCAAAGTCATCGAGACCAGCGGTGTTGGTAGGATTCTTCTTCCACTTATCCTCAAACTCCTTCTTCGCCTTATCAAGGAACTCTTTGACGCTCTCGGCGGCATCGACCTTCTTGTTGGCAGTCGCGGCATTGTTGCCCATCTTAGCCGCGCTGGTGCCCGAGCCTGCCAGGGCAGCTCCACGGGGCTCGAGATAATCCAGAGGACTGCTACGTCTTCGTCGGTGTACGTCCGTGTCCGCCGAGCCTGCCAGGGCTCTGCCGAGCTCCGGTTTTCTCAGAATTTTTGCCACCTTCTATCGCGCGCCGCTGGTGGCCGCCAGAGACGTGGTCCCTTCAGTCGGTGACTCCCCGGGGACGACGCGCGTTGTCGCGTGTCCTTGTATCCTTCGAGGGAGACTTTCGCGACCTCGACGACGACCTCGCGAAAGGAAAGGCTATATATATATATATAGATATATATAGATACGTAACGAGCGAAGAAGAGAGATGGAGATAAACACGCACACTCGCGCGATGGATCACACGGTACAAAAACAGGTTACACACACATACACGCGAGAGAAGCGCGCGCGCTCGCGCGGCCGCGAAAGGACACCCTCCCGGCGCAGCTCCAGAGTCCGAGTTCTCTCTTTCTCTCACGCTCTCCTATACGGAGCTGCTTTCTCTGGTGCGTCGCCGATACTATATATTTTCTCTCCCGGTGAACGTCACCACGCTCCGCAAACGGCGCTCTCGACCCGCGAGTGAGAGAGAAAGAGAGGGGGGGGGTAGGGACGAGGGAGAGATTCCTCCTTCTCCGTCGTCCTTCGGCGAGAGGCTCCCGACACCCGGAGATTTGGCGCGTCGGAAAAAAAATGGGTCAGCAGCGATCCTCGTCCGCGACTCGCGCCATCTTCCCTGTCAATTGTACCACTTGGTCGTCGTTGTCGTCGTTGTCGTCTGGCACGGTGGCGGCGAGGTGCCCGTTTTCTATCTCTTTCCTTTTCTCCCGCACGTTTCTCCGTCCCGTCCGTTTCAACGTCTGTCCTATCTGCGTGTTTTTCGACCACCACCGCAATATTACTCGTCTCACTCTCCCCGCACAGCGCAAAAAGTCACCAAAAAATTCCTCGACTGTCACTCGCACGTAGAGGACTCACTTTTTTAGTCACGCTCTTTTAGCACACTGGGAATATATATTCGCGATACCTCGACGTGACGATGGTAGTCGAACGACACCTCCGATGATGATGATGACACGTTAGCACTTACCCGTCCGTTCGTTCTCGCCTTGTCCTTGTTCCCCCGTGGAGAAGGTGTTGCTTCGCGTTCTTCCTCGCGACGTGAAAGAGGCGAAGACGGTGACACACACACACACAGAGAGGACCCGCTGGAGGAGGAGAGGGACGAGTCTCGGGCGAGGAAGCTACTCGCGCCCCGGCACCGACGTAATCACCAAGTGTCACGTCTCGCGGTCGCGTTCCGCACCAACGGAAGCGCACGGTGCCTAACAGCACCGTCTTGCACGACCCTCCGAAGAGTATGTAACGATTGTTCGTCGACTCTCGCACGCGTCGACAGCGATGACGTCGGCGGAGACGGGTACAACCGTGCCTAAAGATGGCGGCGCGACACCTCTTCCGCTGCGCTCTCGCTCCGTCCGTTCGTTCGTTCGGGGGGTTTTTCGCACGAGTGCGAAAGTGACGAGTGCCGCTCCGGGAGGCGAGAGAGCTACTGTGCGCCAAGAGTCAGCTGTTGCTTCCTCCTGTCACCGAGAGATGTAGCGTCACCGAGATCCGCGTCGAATCGACTGGTGCTGCCGCCGCGCGGCCACAGCCCGAACTGAGGGCGCGACCGAGTCTACCCGAGCCCGCTCGAGAGTTATCTCTCCTCCGGCGACGTCACGTGACGGACACGCGCGTACAGAAGCGGAACGTCGCTGCTTCTCGTCTCTCCGAGCGGCCATTTATTATACACCATTTTTCTCTCCGAGCCGCGAGGCGTTATTCGAAAATAGGATTGCTTATTTACTCGTCACGCTTCTTAATTAATGCGAATTATCGACGTATATAATTAAAGTGTATATGCGGTAATCTTGAGGATATTTTTAAAATATAAGCAATGCGTGTACATATAGATAAAAAAAACAGAGAGATTAATAAAACATATATATATATATATATATATATATACTGATTAATAAAACATATAATGATTACTGAAAAATTATTGCTAAGATAGTTATATTAAAGTTTATATTAATCTGTTCTTTTGCTTTCTTTACGAGATAATATATGCTTTTGCTGTAAGAAAATATATTTTTCTTGAACTATATAGTAATCTATTATGCGAACTTTTTCGCGAAAAAAGACGCTGTTTATCAATGTATCGCTCGGATGTGGAAAAAGCGAACAACAGCCTTGACCCGCTTTCCTCGCATATTCCCTGCATATATTCTTTTATTTCTTGAAAAAAGCGCGACCGTGCCGTAAAGTCAGGGCCCCGGTGATGTCTCAAGTCAGCCCTGAGACACGATTCGAGCTCCGCGAAGAGGATTGTGTCACGTTCTTCGATTTCGAGGACGGCACTCTCTGATTGTGAGTCAGCCGACCGAAAAACTTGAACATCCCGCGTCAAGGTTGTTTTTGAAATTTGGAAACGCTCCGGAGGTCGCGCGACCGCGCTTTTATCTCCGTCACGGACATCGTCGCCGGGGGCTTCCTTATTATCGCGCCGAAAAACGCACGAAGGAGAGGTATGCACATGTGGAGCGCGCGCGTATAATCATGGAGAGCGCGATTTTATCGCGCGCAATCTAACGCCGCACCCGATATGTCATCGTTATATGGCGTCTCGTCGCGATAAAAAGTTCACTCTCTCGCAAATCTCTCGCGCGCGTGTCTGCGCGAGCGAAACCTTTCTACGCCGTTGCGTTATATTGCTAGACTGCATATGTACGTCTTCGTTCAGGCGCTCTTATAAGCTGTCCTCGCTGGATCAACGACGAGCAACTTTTTCTTGCTTCCCAAGTAGCAAAGTGACATCATTAGACGTCAAAATGACGTCATTTTCACGTTTAATGACGTCAGTTTGCTATACTCACGGTTATTGTCGCTAAATGTTTTGACATATAATTTGACATATGTTAACTTGCGATAACATTTCGTCCCCACTGAAGCGACGTAATTACGAGAATATTTAGATTTTATTCGTATTTCTGCGATTGTGTCATTGAAAATTTAAGGCAACAAGCGGCAACTTTTATTACTGGCAGCAGAAACAGGAAGGAACTTTAAGAAAGTTTCGACATCAACTAGCAACTTTTTTAAGAAACATGGAACATCAACAAAAAATTGCTCGTTGTTGCTCCAGTGAGGATGCAGCTTTATGTATAACGAATTCGATTGGATAGAATGATAGCTTTACACCATTCAACGTCGAGACTCGATAATGAAAATTTATATACCAATCAGCCAAATGCCTAGTCTAAAGTTCTTCAAATAATGTATCAAAAAAAAATCATATGTCGAAAAAATTATATTTATTATATAAATATCATCGATAATTTTCTTATCGTTTATAAACTTTTCTTTCGCCTCTTTAATTTCTTAATTAAAAGAGATATTTTTTCGCGCCGATTATAATTCGTTGAAATCAGTCTGTGTGCACATCGAGAACACACAACCTCGCGCTTTATCATAATAGTATTTTCTTATCGCAGGATTATCGAATCGAAGGAGAGGTCGACCGAGTCATCCATATATACGAACGGCATTAAACGAGGCTTGTAAGGCTTATATGTGTTTTATATTTTTGTAAGCAATACATATATATATATATATATATATGTGTGTGTGTGTGTGTGTGTGTGTGTGTGTGTGTGTACATATACTGCTACTTGAAAAAGTTCGTCGCTTGGTGCTCGGAGATAAAAACAGAGCGACCATTGTACGAATGAAATCGACCGTCTTAATTCAATTCGTGTGTGAAATTATTAGAGACATAGAGTCCCTCGAGAGTTATATTTACGTAAGAATATTTCTTTCGAACTATAACGATCGATATTCCTTCGATAGTAATGTCAACCAATTTTTTTTTTACACTTTTCGCTCGGCCTCTTTAATTCCGATGACACGTGAAAATATACCTATTAAAATCGAGCGCGAGAAAGAATGAATCGGATCCGCTTTGAACGTGCGAATCCTACGAATGTCGCGTCGTCGGAGCGCCGCACAGAATATACCACGGTCAGAGGATAACAGACGAGACTTGTTGCTGTCAGTCACGTCAGCGGGGGAACCGGTTCGAGAGGCCCGAGAGTCGAATAAAACGCGATCGAGAGCGCGCGCAGAGTCGTGAAGCAAAAATAAGGGTTTCGGCGACGACGTCGTTACTCGTTATCGGCAGCAACGGCATTGGTCTATTAATAATAATCGACCGGATATCGCGGTATCGAACCGTGGTAGATAGGTAGGTAGATAGGTAGGTGTACGGAAGGTTGAACACCCGCTGACCTGTGATAATCCTTTGCCGATTAGTTCCCAACTGTAGACAGAGGCGGCGCGGTTTTAGAACGGTCGACCGACAGGAAAACCGCGGAGAGAAAGAGAGAGAGAGAGAGAGAGGGAGAAAGATAAGGGTGGCCTAGAGAATGGGAGGATGAGGGCGGGACACGAGGGGAGAACGGGACGAAACGCGAACCGGTTGCTCGCAGAGTCCAAAAGGTGCGATCGGGTCAGGCCAGCGTGAACACACGCGGCATTTTCGTATGATACACCGCCGCGTTGTGAACGCCACGTTGGATATAAAGGCGGAGATCAGGATATACATATATGCGTGGCGTATATAAATTATATCTACGTCGATAAATTTATATACCATCGTACGATGGCTACAATAATAATTGCTCGATTAATCACGTCGCAATATAGATTAAAAAAAATATTGGTCGCTCGAAGGAGATGTAGCGCAATATCTTGGAAACGAGCAACCTATACTGTGTGACTTGGTAGCAGAGGAGAAAAGAAATGTTTTATATATATCTTAAAGGAATGGATGATATTCTATAACAATACGTCGCACACACGCACACACACAATTTTCAGACATAGGAATTTCCAATTAAAAAAAGCTGCTAGTACACGAAAGGAATTTTTTCTTAGAATTTATCCTGAAAATCATGGTGATCATCCCAGATAGCACCATGTCCAAAATTGGTGCAGAAGACATCATTACGAAATCTTTAAGACATCTTTAAAAAAACCTTATGATATATTTGATATCCCAAAGACAAAATTAATCGAACAGATTATTAGAGAAATATTAATCAGAGAAACTCATAAAATTTCATGATTTTCAGGGTAAATTCTAAGAAAAAATTCTCTATGTGTATTTTTTAACATATGATATTTTTATAATTATTAAAATGCAAAATGCGTATTCAGTTTGAAATTTTTTTCAAAATCTAATTTTTCATATATATTTTACATAATAATTATAAAAATGTCGTATGTCAAGAAATGCTAGAAGTTCAAATTGAAAATTATACATACAGTATATTATACATGCATACACGGAGAGAATTTTTTCTTAAAATTTACCCTCTGAAAATCATGGTAATCTTGGGACAATATGGTATTGGAAGAATTTTAAAATTTTCTTTGATTAATATTTATCATAATAAAAAATATTAATATATGTACATATATAGTAAAATTAATCGAATATATTTTATATGTGAAATAAAATTTTTCCAATACCTATATTGTCCCACGATTGTTTTTCACGGTAAATTCTAAGAGAAAATTCTCTCTGTGTATATATACATATAACATATATATTATATATAAATATATGTATATATATATATATATATATATATATATATATATACACGCATATATATAATGTATAATGTATAAGTGTTATTTGTGTACTTTGTATCATGTGCCCCTCTTGTGTATCGCAAAGATAGATGCCCACATAATTTGCATGTATGCCACTGTCGTTTGCGTGTTCCAATATTGTTGGAGATACACAAAGGACCTGTGGGAGTTTGCTTGTACTGTTTAGGGTTAAACCCGGTTTGATTCTACCCTACAGGATGCGCGCGTCCACGCGCTCTCTATTGATTCCATGACCCGAAGCGGCGAGCCAATTTGTCGAAGGGAAGCACACTAGTTTCTTACGTGGAACATCTCGCGGAGAAAAGACAGAATACGTGAAATTACAAAACTCAAGAGAGAAGGCTATATCAAAATAAACATGCCAAATTTTCTTCCAGACTTTTTTATCTCAAATTAATCATAATATAATTAAAATAGTTTTTTTTAATTCTTCTAGTATCTCTCTCCTTATCTTATATATTATTGATCAAAAATGATAGATTTCCTATAAAAGTTCTTTAATTATTCTAAAAAATTGTACAAATGCGCCTCATTATTTTATGCATAATCGATTTTTTATTCGTTTTCTCTTCTCAACAGGATATAGAAATTTAATAAGCTACAAGAAAAATCCATCTTTTAAAGAATACTTTTCCTCCCTAATTCAACTTCTCTCGTAGTATACATATTACATGCTTTACATGCAAATTATTTAATAGGTTCCTTTACGCTTCACGCGCGCTTTCACGAAGACTTTGCATAGATCGTCGCAAAAACGCAATACTGTGCTCGTATCCTTGAGACGATATTTATTCGGGGCGCTATTAATAAGTGTATTCGTATGTAGGCTTCACTGGAAATACATGTCGACCACTGCCGGTGTATTTCCATTTCTAATTCTGATTTCTCTCTCTCTCTTTCTCTCTTTCCACCTCCTCTCTTTATCGCGCAGAAACGTAAACGCGAGTTACCACTCGGAAACCTAGACCTGAAAGTGCATGGCAAAGTGCACCTTAATAAGAGCGACGTATCGCTAACGCAAAGTGGAAATTTGGTCCAGCGAAATGAAAATTTAGATGTCCCGCACCGCTATCTTTAGCGGTCTCGATACTGCAAAAGCGAATAGGTATATAGGTTACTATCGTCGGAATAGACATCCACTGACCCAGTAAAACGGGCTCGGCTCTTATCGAATCACCCACGACGACTCTCAAATAAGCCCACCACCGTACCGTGCTGAAGCGGTTGTAGCGAGAGCCAGATAATTCGTGACATAATCAACGCAAATGTCGTTAATTTATTACGACGGTTTACCACAGGCGAGATTGCGTAAGGATTCTAAATAAAAAAAGAGAGAGACACAAGTCACTGCCACAAATTTTTCTCGGCGGAAACGTGAGAGAAAGAGAGAAAAGAGGATGAACTAATTGTAAAGAGCGAAAATAGTCCATTCTTATACAAATGCACGAGGATTTAGCATTGCTTTCCCCCATGAAGTTTGGCCGAAAATTTCAAGCGAATCTATGAGCGGAATAATATGTTCGGATCGGTCCGATTTCATCGAAAGATGAGACATCTGGCCACCTCGTCTCACCTGTACGGCAGCTGCTGCTCGCTCTGGTTATCTTCGTGCTTACGTGGACTGCCGGCACGTGTGCCAGAACAAAAAATGTATTTACGGAACGGACGAAACGGCACGCTGTTGCAAGCTGTGCCGCAGCCAAAAATTGCGCGCGCTCGCACGATGACGATTAATAAAATATTCCATGATACATAAATAATTCTAAAAGGAGAGAGAGAGAGAGAGAGAGAGAGAGAGAGAGAATATGTTTATTAGAAAAATATATTTTTAGAATATAAATCCTATATAGTCTTCTAATATTTTTATATATTTTATTTTTCGTGGAAATTAAAATAGAATAAATTATATTATTGACAAATGTTTTTTCTTATATTCGACCTCTTTGAACTTTTTTATCAAACGTTCAGTTATCGCACAATTACACAGTTGAAAAATTTATGTTAAATTTGACAGATATCACATGTCTCCAGACGGTCAAAAACAAAAAGTTTTGTGATAATTTATATGGATATGTTAAATGAAGAAACAAATACTGTATTAATATATTTTAAGACAAATGAAATACAAAACTTTACGTAATTTAAAATAAATTTTGTGCAAAATTAACACATAGTTTTAATGTAAAAATTAATTCAGAATATGTCAACTTTAGATTTGATCATTCCTAGTTATATCATATAAAATAAAAAATTAATATTTTTTCTGTAAATTTTAACAGATAAATCTTGTCACTAAATAAACCAGAACATATTTATTGTATAAAATTCAAAACAGATACACATTGTGTTATTTTTACACCTTTCTGTTATTTTAATAATTTATCGCGTTTAAGTTCAATTAACACACGAATGAGTCAAATATATAACATAAAAATGTTAACTTTTTTAAAATTCGTCTTAAAAGCCAGGATTATTGTGACAAAAATAATTCCGTCCTGAATATAAATATTAATTTCGAAAGAAGCTATATTGTATATGTATTTCTTCCGCGATATTCCCGTTTCCCGCGACAAAAGATTCCTCGAGAAAGCGGAAGCCCAAGGGACAGCTATATACACTACGTAACCGCAACCTGTTTCTAAAAAGAGATCGAGCGCCGGTTCGAGAGGGCCGATTTCTCCGGCGCGACGAGGAGGGAAATCTCGCATTCGCCGAGTTCGAGAGCAACATGGACGCGAAACCGGCGCGAGCAACGAGCAACACGATGCGCCGCTCGTCGCGCACCTTTCCCGCACACCGGAAGTGCTGCCATGCCGCGAAACTTCTAGAACTTTCCCAAGCACGCCGAGCATAGGACAGGATCCCCGAGTGCTCGAGTCTAGAGTTGCCAAGGACGAGCGAGACGATATTTTAACCATCCATCAAATTATTCCGCGAGATGCGAGATCTCGTATTCGCGCCAAGCGAGGCGCGTGATTGGTTTGAATATGAAAAAAAAAAAAAAAATAAATAATCGCCGGAAGCGTGTAAAAATGTTTCGATGCTAGAGCGTTGTAATTGTGGACGTCGTCAGGTAGGGAAGGCAAGAGAGAAGGGGACTCGAGATGGTGTCGCTGCCATCGAAGCGAACTTTGCGCCGCGAATAATTGAATGGTCGTGTTTGCGACGTCGTATTACCTTTATTTGATCTGCTTTCGAGCGCCTTGCAGCTCGTGGACAGTAATCGTTACATATATGTTTTCGCCGATGCTTTCGAACGTGATCTCTCTCTCTCTCTCTCGTTTCTAGCATACTTTGACATTTTCTACTCACCATCGCGCAGACACGATATCCGTAACCTCGCTTCGAAGATATAAACCTCTGTGATATAGCCGGGTCTTCCTAAAATTCCAAGGAGATAATCAATACCCTTATCCTTAGATATATAAACATTTTACTAATGGACTTTGATATTACCTTCGTAAAGCTTAACAGGGTCAGAATACTTGATGCGAGCACGCGATAGAATCTCACGATAAAGACGCGGGACACCCTGAATAAGATATGCGAAACGAGGAATAAATATAACGGTTCGTTCACAAGAGAGACGTATCGATGTATAGGAATTGGGAATCGAACCGCATAAACATGCAACTTCAGTCGATTCAATCGAGGATAGCGAAAAATGTTAACCTTACCATCTCAATATTATATATACATCGCATTCGTAAATAAAAAAATCGTTCTACAATCTACAATACAAAAAAATTACTAAATAAATGAATAAATACGAGACAAATGGCAAGGGGGAACGCTTTATATATATATATATATTTATAAATACTTACTTAAATTTTTTCTTCTCTTTCGCAACGCATATATATATATATATATGTATTATTAGCATATGATACGCGTAGAACAACGTCGATAATAAAATATGAATACGACGACAGTCGATGAATAGGCGATAAGGCGAAATAGAATTTTCTTGGTTGTTTCTTTTGCGTCTCGCGTATATTATATTCGCTCGATTTCCTTTGTACAGAGAGACGAGAGACGCTCGGCTCGCTTGCGCGCGCGCGTCAGCGACGCCGCTCGCGGCGCCATCTGTAAACGAGCGGGAAAGAAAAGCGTTTGAAGGCCGCCGGCCCGCCGGCCGGGCCGGAGTCGCTCGGGTCTCGGGCGAATCAGTGCGCGTTTCCCTCTGCCATTTGCGCGTCGGTACGCGGCAGCGGTGTTACCGGAATCTCTCTCGACGTGTGCTTACCGGTGCGTAGAAGAGGAGGACGCGTAACCGCCGTGTCTGTACGAGGTGTGCTTTTTACGAGTCCGGTGCTGTTCCTGCGTGGATTTCTCGCGATCAAATCGATCGGTATGGCGGACACAGAGGCCAAGTGAGTATATACACGCGTCCACCGGTGCGTAAATACGCGGCTATCGATTCGTCTCAGGGGGAGACGAAAAAAAAAAAGGAATCAAGCGGACGGCGTCGGTTCCCCTTTGCGCGCACGAGATCGCCTTCTCGCTCGAGAGGACGATCTTCGCGTCGTCCCCCAGGATCGTATCGTTCTCGACGACGACGACGACGTCGTTGTCGTCGCGTCGTCGTCCTTATTCCTCGTTCGCTTTCGAATTATTCTCTCGAGAAAGGCTGGCGAGCACATGAGGAGAGAGGATGGGGCGACGTGCGGTTCGCGCGGGAGGAGGATCGAGAGGGTCCCCCTTCTCTCTTTCTCTTACAATATCTCGTGCGACGATATTCTCAGGCCGATTCGCGGGACGCCTAACGATCGCTGGAAATTACCTGCCGCGTGCTCCACTTGCGGCGAGGTTTCATGGCGGCTTCGTCGTCTTCCTCACGCCGGGGATCCTCTCTCTTTCTACTCCCCGTCCTCCCCCGCGTCGCGACCGCCCGCCCTCGCACGATCGAAGACGAGCGCATCGTCGCCGATCGGCGGCCTCGTATTCCTTTTGTCCCTCGCGCTCTCGGCGACCACTTCGCTCGTTTGTTTACGTCGCCTATGTTCATGACGTACGTGCACGCGCGCGCGCACGCACACATACGTAGGGTTATAATATATACATTCGTAGAAATCACCACATGCACATGCGGTGTTTTCCGCGGGAATGCGGGAACCACCCTCGCCTCGGAGAGGACGAACGAATATATACACGATTCCTTCGTCTGTCGATTGTCATCGTCTTTTTTTTTTTTCTTTTTTCTTCTGTTATTTTCTCCCTCCCATCGCACAACGTCTCGGGAGAAATCGTCATCTTATCGCCGGTCCTTTCTCCGTCACGCGCGCCGACCTGAAAGCGGTCGACGACGTATCGATCTGCCAGAGCTCGTGGAGATAACGGCGGTGCTTTATTGCGCGATATTTCCCGCGGAAATCCTCCTTTGAGAGTACGACGTACGGGATATGTAATCGGTTAATCCGGAAAGAGAAGCTTCCATCCTCGTGGAAAGATCGACGCAAGCGAGAAAAAAAAGAAGATATATATATATATCTATCTATATATTATTTATATCCGTCTTTAATCAATTATATACCGGCTCTCGAGACGAATAATAGCGGTTAGGGATAACGGCATTCTTTACGTTTCTACGCACGCGTAAAGAGAGCGATGTTGAAAGAAGGAATATATAAAGAGAACGCGTGTATATATCGCGTTATGTACCATACTTATGTATATATACGTACACCACAACACGATTCGCCACGCTGAAGCGAGTGTTCGTGGTAGTACATAGTGTAGTGGTGTAGTAATAATAATGGCGATGCTTGTTGGGGCGGCCGGCGACGCGAAGAGGCAGAGGGAGCAGGATAATATTAACCTCGCTAGGTGCCGCCACAGTTGGCGGCGTCCCTGTCTCTATTTCGCTCCGTTCGTCGCGTCATCCTTGTTGCTAGCCAGCAATGTGAAACGGCAGCAAATACCGAGGCAGAAGCGCGCGACCTGCAATTTTGAACGGGAAATGTATATCGCGCCGGCTTTTTTCTATCTTTTTTTTTTGCGGTTTTTATCACGGTTCACTCATAACTCTTACGTTCTACCATTATACGTCGACAAAAAATCACTATTCTAATTATATGAATGGAATTGAACACGTTTGATGATATATTTCTGTAGCAAACGATTAATTTCATTGTGATTCTTACTCGTAGAATCAAGTGTTACTTGTATAATTTTGTTAAGATACGTTTCTTGAGAATTTGTATTAGAAAATGATGTGAAAGTTGCCATTACGCACTTAACAATCTTTTAATATTTTTTTTGTTACACGTAGAGCATTTGATATATAACGTATACTTATGTATTATTTTTACTTACAGGGAAACAAAAGTCACTACCCCTCAGAAGAAGGTGGTCGAGGAGAAAGTAGTGGAGGAAGAAATTGATGAGGAAGATTCTAAAGCATCTGAAAATGGTGATACCATAAAAGAAACCAAAGAGAATGGCTCGAGCGAGGAAAAGGAGGTTGACGAGAAAGAAGCAGAATCTACAGAAAATGGAGATTCTACAGGTATATATTAATTATTAGCAGACATTACTCTGTTGCATAATTGGATTTCAAAGGGAGATGTCTCTGTAATAATGAATACATTTCTTTTTATTTAATTTCAGATGCTCCCGCCGACAGCTGTTGCATAAAGAGGAAATCAACAGCTGGAGCTGAGGCAGGAGAGGATGCACAGGACGGTGCGAGTCCCGAGAAGAAGTCGAGACTCGACGAAAAGTGCGTTGAAGCCGAGAATAACGGCGACGCGGAGGAGGCCACGGCCTAATATTCTCTCATGTTTATTATTGACAGACCTAATCCATAGACGCAATTTTAACTACCGAGTGTGAAGCCAGGGCAGATCGTCTGTGCATTTTCAGAGAAAGAATGGCGAGCATATAAGAGCATATAAGAGCAAAAAAATACAGAAAAAGGAACATTTGACGTTTATTGCATTAAAGACTTTCTGTGTTCAGGATGCTTGTGTGTCTCCCATAGTATTTCTTACAACAAATTGGCAATATCGATACGAGTCCGATATTTATCGAGAAATCATAATTACATGTGATTAATGTAAAGCTTAAACAAACCGTGCTCTCTCTGTACTGGCATCCACTGCATACATATTATATATTCACTTAGCGTTAGTGTCTTAAAGTAAGAAAATATACCGCGATAATGTTTAGAAATAATATATTTCTAATTCATCAAGAGAGACAAATGATAGTGCGATGTCTGGAAAATGGGTACATTGTGCAACATAATATTTCCAACTACTGCTAGTCCTCATTGTTTCCGACGCACAGACACACATACTGTAGCTTATACATATAGACACACACCTTGAACTATACATCGGAGATAGAATACAGATATTTTTCTGCGAATCAAAATACATTCCCAAAAATAGATTATGACTGTTCGCCGATGAAATTGTTAAGAGAGCGCCATTTCTATAGCTGGCATTAAATGTACATGTTTCAATGATATTTTATTTATGTAAAACTAACTTTTACAAGAAAAAAAACTGGACTGTTTATATTTTAGAAACTATTAAGTTCTGCCAACACATATAATGTGTTTGACAAAAAAGATTATTTTTTTGTTTTCAAGAAATCTTTCAAAAAGGTTACCATAAATGATTTCTAAAACGTGTGTGGTCGTTTTTAAAAACTGAAATAAATATATTTCTTTTTTTGTGTAATTTTTCTTACGAGGCGTGCAGTATACACATATAATTTGTCTTTTACCTCAATTTTCGTACATTGTACCTATGTATGTTTAAAAACACTAATGAATGAAAAGATTGGTTTAAATTTTGATAATGACATAGAAAATTATCGGATAAAAAAATATCGCAGTTGACACAGAAAATTATCACAATTTCGAAATTGATTGACGTAATTAATTCATTGATTTGCATGTTGAAAACTATATTAGATAGTTGTCAGACAAGGTATCACTTTCCTTTTTAGTTGCGTTTGTGTAATGTTAGTTTCAAAAGTTTCAATATCATTTTATTTATCGCTAAAGTATCTCAGTCATACGATAATGATTTGTATAATTTTCAACATTATTTTGCTTCATGTAATAGATATATTTGTCAATCAGTGGAGGTAATAACATTGTATGATTAAGGTTTAAAATGGTAAAATGTGTTCAACAGCTAATACAAATAAAGATGGTTCTCTATATTGCGTAAAATATTATTTCCTCCTGTGTACAGAGATATGATTTTTCAAAAATAGGATTTTATACATGAAATTGTTGCTATTTTTTACACATCTATATAATCTTAATATTTTATGAAATTTTATGCTTGGGGAAAATATGAGAAAGGAAATATTTAGAATAAAATTAATTTATGTGAGCGTTTGATATGTATAAAAGTAAGATATTCACATATAAAAATAAATACAATTTATAATTTTCTGCTCCTTCATAAAATTCGCGGGTGACAATCAAAAGAGCCATCTATCATACGAGTGAAAACTTACCATTGTAATTGTTTAGGTTTAGACTTTGGACAATACATTTAGAGTTTAGAGATTTTTCAACAATACTAATGTACAGTTATATTTGTTTATATATTGTTTGAACAATTTATAATTTTTCGCTTAATAACATATAATTTTTTTACATTGAAACGCTGTGTTTCAAATTCTAAAAATGTTGCGGCCGTTTTTCTCCAAACCAGGTGAGGTTATGTATGATCACATGTTTATTATAATTTCATCAAGTTATATTCTGTTCTTATACAAGGAAATATTAAGATTTGCGACGTATCTAGTCAATAAAAAAGAGATTATATTTGTATTGTCATTTTAAATAGATAATTTTGAAGATAATTTTATACTTAAATATAATCTGCATATGTATAGTTTAATGAAAATATATTAGAAAGTTTCATGTTATCTGCAATCTCTATAAATTGTTAAAAAAAACATTAATTATTCATACAGTAACTTTATTAATTAGGAGAAAGCATGTGGCAGGAGGATAAACCTGATATCGATGCCCATTCGTCAACACAATTTGTTTACAATGCGCATCATTCACTTGCACTTGACATGCAGCGTCAACGACTACCCATCTTCAAAAACAAAGATCACATTATTTACTTATTGGAGAAATATCAGACCTTGGTTCTAGTGGGTGAAACAGGTTGTGGTAAAAGCACACAAGTGCCTCAGGTGAGACTCGAATGTGTAGTTTTATCTTTAAGATAACTCAGAAACTACAGCGTCATATTTATTATACTCACACATAAATGCCTTGATTTCTATAAATATAAAAATTGATAAGTTTGCAGAATGTCTCATTAAAATAGTAACAATAAAAAGAGGGAATTTATGACTTCTTTATTCAAATTATAAAATTCTACGACATGTTCTTCAGTTACTTATTTCTTCAAAGGATGCACGAGTTAAAAAAAGTTATTTTTTCTCAATAACATACTTTTTATGCTACATCCTATAGTATAACTATGTATAATATGTAGTATAAAAAGTATGTTGTAGAAAAAAATCAAACTTTATTTCATCAGCAACTCGTGTACCTTTTAAAGAAATAATTAATTGAAAGGTATACTACAGAATTTGATAATTTGAACAATGAAAAAATCATTACTACTTTGTTGTTTGACCTATATATCTCTGATATATATATATAATCTCACATGATATCATGTGATACTTATCATCTGATATCATATCTTTTTATACATTATTTGTCAATATTCTAAAAATTAATTTACAAAATCTCCCTGTATGTCTTTCATTCATCATTGGAGATTATCCAACGTCAAAAAAACAATCTATATTTATATGCAGAAAGTAACACGTCACCCTATTGGCCTCAAACAACGTATATAATAGTGTTTGTTGTCATCGATTATTCACGCATCGTGAAAATAAAGATTCTTATCTTCGCTTCGCGGTTTTTACATGCAGCGGCTAAACGTGGCAAACATCGTTGCACAGCGATAGCATTTTCCATTTGTATATATACGACCTCTTGACATCTACAAATGAAATTCAACACCGCGCGCAGAGGATATAAATAGAATTCTACGTAGGGGAGCGTTTTGCGAAGGATATTGGGATTTAAACTCTACAAGAAGGAGAGAGCATTTTAAACGCCGGAGATGGCTTCCGAAGATTTCAAGGAAAAGAAACGCGCTCCTCCCGATCAATTCCTATCGCGGTCGCCTCATCTCTCCAGAGAGCTCGGACATGAGCAGCAGTGCTACGTTTTGACGCAGTCCGCGTCAATGTCCGGTGGGCGAGGCGAGTTCTGGATTGGAATAGTTGCGGGTCTCTAATATTGACCTATTATAGGACGGAGTGAAGCCCGTGATCGGTAACCGTGAGAGGTATAAAACGACGTGGAACATCTCCCTTCTTTCCTCCTGGTCTGTCTCTCTCTCTTACACCTTCATATTCTCCCCTCTCCCCTCCTCCCTCCTATCCTCTCCTCCCCCTCTCTCTGTGTATGTGCTTCTGTCCATTAAAATGTAGCGCGACCGCGTGGATCGACGATTATACGACGATCGACGACCTCTGAGAAAGAGAGGAAAAAAGGAAAGGCAGGCAGTGGCGGGATGAACACACGCGTGTCCGACTGCTGCGTGTCCCTGAGCTCTTGTATACCAGATAGACCGAAAACATCGGCTGACGCGACGCCATAATCTGATCTATGAGGAAGCACCGAGTGGTATATGTGTGATAACGGGTTGCATTTAAGAAACGCAACGTGTTACGAAGCATTTCAGAATAATGCGTAACGAGGTAGTGGAAAATCCTGAGTGAACGATACCTGTGCGAGAAAAAAACAGTGACATCCTCCAACACTCGAGAGAGATTGTGACTTCCAATTTTTTTGGTTGTTATCGCAAGACATCGGTGTTTATATAAGTGAACGTCGCATCGCCAGGTTGCTCTTTACGATGCGAAAAACGATCTTCTCAAAGCTATTAACGCTTTATTGCGTCGAGATGGAAATGTGACTCATCGAAAAGTGTGGCGTGGAATGTATCCGGAGACGAGGAGAGGACTTATCACAAGAATAATGCCCTGGCAATCGATCCGTGCCGAAGCAATGGGAATGTATATACTTTGACAAGATTTTCGTGCGAAAACGTGATGCACACGCAAGCCTGGAGAGTTCGGAGCACAACAAACAACGCTGACTGATAAAGAATCATAATCTCGCCAGCGCGACAATAGGATAGATAGATAGATAGATATATCGTCTTCTCCGATTAGACTTAAAAAAAAATAATTTAAATTAAAAATCTATTATGCTAATCATCTCGAGCAAAAAAAAAGGAATATTAGGAGAAGTTGTGTGACACAACGACGCAGTTTCTAACGATCTCCAAAGATGTATTTACCAATGTTGATCAACAAGACATTCCTGGTGTTTCTGCTGCTGTTCTCGTTGTACTTCGTCGGGATGGATCTGCTGCTTTACTTCAGGGTGCAGGAATACGACGTGCGTCCGCGCGTGAACGACACTCGGGTTTCGCCGTATCCTTCGCCAATTCTGTGCGACGTGAATCCGATTTGCACGGTGACGGTGAAGGCAATGATGCTGGATCATCCGAATCATTACATCCTGAGTCCCCTGGCGAGCCTGGTGGACTACCTCCTGGGTATCAGTCGTCTCTGGAGCTGGCTGACGCCTAACATCATCAGCGTGTCTCACGTGGTTGTGGCCGTGATCGGCGCCCGATACATCACGCGGAACTCTCTCGCTCACCGACGTGTAGGTACCGTCCTGTTTCAAGTCCGAGCCTGGTTGGACAATCTGGACGGCCACGTGGCCAGGACGAGGCGGAACATCGACGGCGAGAGATCGGATTTCGGATCCATCGGCTACTTCGTGGACGGCGTCTGCGACGGCCTCGGCTGCATCGCCCTCGTGGTCGCGGTATTTCTATTTCTGAAACGTAATTCCAATCGCCGGGCCGGCTACGAGCGACTGCCCATCCGTACGTCGTCCACGTCCACCAGTGCCGTCTCCACCGTCCCGTTCTGGAAGTCGCCCTTGTACAACATGCTGATGGTCGGCTTGCACTTTTCCCTGACGAGCGTCGCTTGGAACCGATACATATCCGTATACCAGGATCTACTCGAGACCGACAGCAGCATCCTCCCGATCAGCCGGAAAGATCTCTACGACAGGCAGACCGTCGTCTTCAGGAGTCCCTCCTTCTGGGCGGTTGCGCTCGCCTGGAAGTCCTTCAACTTCCACGCGATGATGGATTACATGCTCCTGGCGATATTCCTCGATCGCGTCTGGGAATACGTCAGACTCGCCTGGTGGCAGTTACCATCCGTCCTCTTGTTACTTGTTCTTATCAGCGAGTTTCATTACATTAACGCCTATGCTTATGTGGAAGTATCGCCGATGAACGAGAGCCTGCGGTTCTTCTCCTTATACGCGCTTCCTAGTCCATGACAATCTGTTTCTTGTTGTGAATATTCTGTACATCTGTAATGATAATTATTCGATTGACGAGCTCATTCTTAAACCGCGTCTTAAATATTTATTTGTTTTTTTTTTTTTTTTTCATTATAATTATGTGCTTCTGTTTATTGTACGATTTTTTTCATCGCTGTAATGGCTTCTTTAATGTAGCTTTAAAAACATTTTTTGACATAGCTTTTTAAAATTGGTTCGAGAAAAAACAAATTTTCAATTAAGAAACATATGAGACTGTATATATTGTGACGATTTTTTCGAATTTTAATAATGTTGTTAATTGTATTTTTAATTGTATTCTGTTAATTGCATTCTTTCGCAATAATGTTACAAATCGAAACGCCTTCGAAAACAAACTAATTAAAAAATTAAATTTTGACAGTCAAGAATATTACAATAGTTATTTTACATTTTAATTAGAAATTTTAATTAGAAATAAATATCACAAGGTAAATCGTAAAAAGTATATTCCATAGGGCAAAATGTAGAAATTAAAGACTGGGAAAATTCGAAAAAATACGATAGCTTATTATTTTATCTTTAAAAAAATTGTTCGATATATTTATAAGTAAAAACTAAGATTTTTTTTTACATATTGTGTGTGTATTATTGATGTTATTTTGTTGTTTTATTAATAAAATACATATATATATAATATGAATAATATAATATATATCATATATAATTTATATAAATATTTAAATGTATATATTAATATTACAAAAATATGTATAAATTACAAATTTTATATATATATATATATATATATATATATAAAAATACATATATGATATATATTATATTGTTATAAGTATATATTCTTAAAATCCTGCGCGTTATTTTTCGCAAATGACACTGAAATTTCCCTATGTATGATTTTACTCGCAATGCGCGTAATATACACATACATTTCAATATTTTAAACTTAAACGACTAAAACCAAGGTTCTTGCAAAGTAATTACACTCAACATTTGAAAGTTTTTTTATCGTTACAAGACAATCGCATGGTATTTATATATATATCTAAATAGGTCAGTTATTGATTGCAGTTACGCATTTTTATCTAATCCTGTGCCAAGAGCGTTACCTAACTGCAGCACGAATAAAATGGACGTGCACAAAAACTTGTTACATGTACGAAAGGAAAAAAGTCATAAGTTTCGCAATACTCCGGCAATCGATGTCGTTAGTTGCGTTTAACATGTATAAGATTTCTCACGTCGAATTTTATTATAACGCCCCGATTCTTGTCTTGTATATTTTTATATAATAAAAATGTACAATAAGATGTTTTTATATAAACTCTGAAATTCGTGTTCATTTTGTCTATTTCTTTCGCCTAAAAATTTCAATCCCATGTAATAGAGATTTTCCAGAAAAAATACACAAATTTTTTTATAATGTATATATATTTTTTTTTCTTTCTATTTAACAGTTAATTAACAATTAATTTATTCATGTATATACGTACACATAATATATTATCTACATACTTTTATATAAAAATTTATATTTTTATATACAATATATATATATATATATATATATATATGAAATGTCTCGAAAATAATTATAAAAAATGTATTTATTATTCCTTTAGTATCTTCTTGAAGCAGGATGGTGCGCAGATGGGAAGAAGATCGGCATCACGGAACCCAGAAGAGTCGCTGCCACCTCCTTAGCGAATCGCGTGGCCGATGAACGCAATTGCATTCTAGGGACCACTGTAGGCTACTGCATACGCTTCGATGATTATACTGATGAAACGACCAAGATTAAGGTACAGCATCGTGAAACAAACACAATGCACGATTTTTACTCGGAAGGATAGTTTTAACTCGTTGCGAAAGAACATAGTTTTTCTCTCATACTTGCATTTCGTATATAATTTGCATTATAATAAATTATAATTGTAATTTATAAATTATAATTTATGATAAATTAGAATATTACTGTGTAATTTTATGTTAACATGCATTTTATGTATATTATTATGAAGAATATTGTAAGACGTACATTGCATATCTTTACAGTACATGACAGAGGGTATTCTTCTAAGAGAATTAATGAGCGACCCGTTATTAACAAGCTACTCGATAATTATCTTGGACGAGGTGCACGAAAGAACACTCTTGACTGATATCATAATGGGATTATTGAAAAAAATAATCAGGGTAAATCCACTGACAATATTTATATTAAAGACATATGTTTTCTCGCGCAAAACTCTATAAATGTGAACTAATTGTTGCAGAAACGGAAGAGTCTGAGAATTATCGTTTCATCGGCGACGGTTGATGCGGAGGAACTTCGAGATTTTTTGACATAAATACGACCAAAGATTCTAGCAAAGGTACTGCTACTATCATGAGTGTCGAGGGGCGATTATATCCAGTGGATATCTTCTTTCTGAAAGGTATACAGATAGATATAGAGCGCTATATTCGCGACTAATTCATCGCTATGACTCTTCTATTATTTAATTAAGGCTGTATCGTGTTGCAGAGCCAGTGGCAAATTACGTTAACGGCGTAGTAGACACCGTTCTAAAAATACACGAAACGGAGGAATCGGGCGACATCCTGGCATTTCTCACCGGACTCGATGAAGTTGATCAAGCCGTCTCTCTCTTATTGGAACATGCGAAGCTTATAAAAGACGGCAAACGTAAGTGGACGATTGCGCAGTCAAAACTAGTAACTCTGCTGTTATCTTTTTCAGTAATATACTTCAAATTAGTTTCTTGATGCTATCTTAGTATTTCTCGTTGTTTATTGTCATCAAAACAATGACTGGACAATGCAATAACTCGAAAACTTGTACGATTACTCGACACTTTGTTGAAAAGAAAAGAAAAATTTTAATATTAATAATTTTTTTTTGTAAATTAGTAATATAAAAAGTAAAATTAAATGACTAAAGATTTAAAAAATTGATCTATATTAGTAAAATTGTTGATTAGTAATATTCATTATTTTTCAGAGAAACTACTTCCATTACCAATGTACGGATCACTTCCCAACGCAGAACAGCTGAAGGTATTCTGGAAGGTCGCTAAAGACACTCGCAAAGTTGTCGTGGCAACTAACATTGCGGAAACATCTATCACCATTCCAAATATTGTTTATGGTATATTAGCTGCTGTACGCCTTTTTTTTTGTAGATAGTAAATGCTGCTTCTGACTTGATGACGTAATGTAACTGTGATTTTCTAATGCGCAGTAATCGATTGCGGTTTCGTCAAGATACCTTGGTTTGAAGCGGAAACCCAGACGAATAGCCTTGTTATCGTACCCGTATCAAGAGCTTCCGCTGACCAACGAGCTGGTCGTGCAGGTCGCATCCGTACAGGAAAAGCATTTAGGTAAAGAAACAAGCAAATACTTGCACGTGTTTCATATATTTTATATAAGATATATTTAAATATGTTTTAAATAATCAAAATGTATAATGTCATTTTATTTATTAAACTTGTGATTATAGAGACTAATAAAATATTTTGCAATCTTCTAATAGATTATATACAGAGGAGGCTTGCGCTGGATTGTTCGAGGCCACTCCACCGGAAATGCAACGATCGGATTTAGCCCCAGCGATTCTACAATTAAAAGCACTGGGCATCGACAACGTGTTGCGATTCAATTTTCCGTCTGCTCCTCCAAGCAAGAATCTAGTCATGGGATTAGAGTTGCTTTATGCATTAGGTGCAATCGACAATAACGGAGATTTGACGACACCATTAGGTTTGACGATGGCAGAGCTGCCTTTAGAACCGGTGCTGGCGAAATCCTTAATCGTTTCTGGTAAAAGCAGCGTTATATTAATAATTATATTAAATTTCTAGATAAATAACGATGAAAAATTCATCATAAATATGTTAAATTGAATCAAAATTCTTTTCAAAATATGTAGCTATAATATTATAAATTAAGAAATTAAGATAATTATAGTAATAAATTTTCTTTTATTGGGGCGATAGGTGAAATGGGATGTTCTGACGAAATCACAACGATATTCGCCATGCTGCAAGTTCAGAATGTTTTTATACAACCCGGCGGAGGACAAGCGGCTCTGAAAGCGAGAATAGCGCATCGAAAGTTCGAGGTGGAAGAGGGAGATCTTCTTACCTTGCTAAATGTTTATACAGCTTTTGAGCGCAATAAAACACCCGCCTGGTGCCAAAAACATTTTCTCAATCACAAGGCTTTGCGGAGAGCCACAGAGATTCGTATGCAGATGCACAAGATGTTGAAACGTTTGGACATTTCGTTAACTTCCTGCAATGGTAAAATTTAAATTTAATCGAAAATGTAATCTCTACTAAATATTATATTCTGATTGAAAATATAATTCTTGTCGATCTTTTAGGGAATGTTCAACAAATTCTCAAGTGTCTAACAGCCGGTTTCTTTCCTAAAGCAGCATATTTACACTATACAGGTATATATAGAACTGTTCGAGGTGATAAGGATTTATATATTCATCCAAATAGCTGCTTATATACTCTGCAACAACCACAATGGTAAATATATTAGTAATTTTGGATTTGTATCTACTAGAATTTCTTATTTTATTTGACTTTATCTTATTCTAGGTTACTGTTTTGTGAAATTTTACAAACGAATAAAACTTATATGAAGGATCTAACTGTTATTCAACCAGAAATGTTATTGGAAGCAGCGCCACATTTTTATGAAAGTACATCAATTGAATCTGTGTAGAATATGACGATAGTAGAGTAGATGTACATAAGCAACAGTATTATCCAATATATGTAAGATAATATAATATGTAATATAATATGTAAAAAATTGTCTATTTATAATGAATGTAAAAATGTGATATGTTAAAAAATATTAGTATTTTTTGTAGTTGATTTTGGTATAAGTTTATGAAATATTGATCTTTTTAATAATTATTTAATTTTGCATCTCTGTTAACAATAAAAATAGTTTCAAATCTGTCAGATTCTGCGTTGTATATATATAGATTTGAATCTATGAAAAATGAAAATAAAAAGCATTTTTTGTACAATGTCAGAATATTGAATGTGATTGTTCAACTATAGTTATATAAAATTGCCAGCAGTTGCGCTGCAATTCCTTGTCAGATTTCTATATTTCCTGTAGCCAATGGTTGTTTCATCCTGATTTTCCTAACTAGAGGTTAAGTCTTGTTAAAAGTTGCAAGCGTTTACAAGTTTATCATTGGATTGCATCTGGAACCGTTTATTATATTTTATACAATATATTCGTTGAAAAACTATGGCGTATGTATTTAATTAATTTTTTATATCAAAGTACAAAGATATATGTCCAAAAAAACATCAGTCTTAATGAAACCATATGTTCTGTCTATTTGATATTTTCTATTAAAAATAGAGTACAATGCAATGTGTTTGTACAAAATTTTATGTGTTTCAGGTCGAACAAAGTTACTTTCAGAATAACTCTCACGTCTGATCCCAAACTACCATTCAAAGTGTAAGTGGCTGTTTAGGATAAACCGCATCTTAATTTCTTACAATAGCATGCAAGCTATCAGCTCTGAGATTTTTAAAACTATCGACGTATTTTTCACGTTGCTGCAAAGTCCAGTCATTAATGAACAAATGACTGTGGAAAATATGATACAAGCTTTTAATTGTGCCTATTTTGTTGAAGTAGCCATTAAAAAGGTACAGGCTGAAAAGGAAATATTGACATTTGAAGAATATTTGCATTGCAAATTAGAACGAAAGTTATTTCCATACAATCGGAACATCACATGCTCTGATTTGGAGAAAGCTTGCGATAAATTATTAGAACATTATTTGAAAGATTGTTACATTTCCACCGAGATAGTAGATGAATATCTAAAATTATACATTCAACATTTTGACTGCGACAGATTAAATGCTTTCTTGCATCAAGTAATGAGTAAATCCCTTGCAACAAACATGGTAATAGAGTCTTTAGAGGAATTAGGGGTACCACTGTCTAACATGGAAGATGAGGCATTAATTATGACCTGGCAAATGGCAATAGCTAATAAAGATCAAAGTGAAGTAGCAAACTGTATAAACAAGATGTTAAACGATGGTCATGTTTTAAGACTGATGCATTTAGCAATAAAATCGCATAATGATATAATTAGAAAATTAATTCTAGAAATTTTTAGTTCAAAGCTAATTCACTATGATCCTGAAATATGCATAGCTTTTGTAAATACTGAAAAGAAATTACTTTTAAAATTACTTCGAGACAATAGTTTTTGCATAGATTTTATCGATGCAATATTCTATTTTGGTCGAAATATGTACTTGGTAAATGGAAAGTGGTGTTCAGATTTTAAATTTGAATATACACATCTCTGCAAAATAATGAAAATTTTATTAAGTGGTCCTCGTGTAATTTGTGAACTTGTATACAATAGAATGTCTACTGTTAAAACTCAACCAGATAGTGAGATATGGAATAATATTGAAATAGATATCTTGAGTTGACTTTTCGAATTTAATGACTTGTAATAACAAATTAGTATTTTTGTATATTTGTAACAAAAAAAGAATAAATAATTACTTCTACTGCAAGTAAATTTGTCTTATTAGAAAAAAAATATCACATTCCTATATTTAAAAATATTGAAAAATTACATAAGAAAAATATATTTATTCTTTTGTATATATATTTTGTATTTCTTTCTGCATTATATAATTTCCTTAATCTCTAAAATAAGAAATATATTTCATTAATTACAGACTTAGTGTACCAGAAGGTACTCCATTTAGTGCTGTAGTACAATTTGCTGCTGAGGAATTTAGAGTACCAGCAGCTACATCAGCCATAATTACAGATGATGGCATAGGAATCAATCCTCAACAAACTGCAGGTGATTCTTTTTTTCTAATGCAAAGTAACAATATAAAATCTAGTTTAAATATAATGCTCAATTGTACATACTTTCAGGAAATGTATTTCTCAAACATGGCATGGAACTCAGATTGATTCCCAGAGACAGAGTTGGATATAGTAAATAATTTATATAATATTCTATATTTATTTTGATTACATCTGCATAGCAAAAAAATTTTTTTTTTTAATGTGAGCTAAAATTATAAAATATTATAAAATTGTATATATCACGCGATTATGTATAAAAAGTATTATGTACACATAATAAAAACATTCCATGTATACTTTCTGAAATAATTGGTGTAAAAATGGTTGTGCTAATGAAAAGTCTATGATTTCAATTTAATAAAGTTTATTATATTTTATACTTCTAAAACAGTGTGATTAGATGAAGGACACTGGAAATATAGGTAATTAGAATTAAATATGTGATTAGTCTTTGATAAAAAGATTTTATAGCTGAAATACATGAATGGTATAAGACTGATATAAAGGTATATCACTATATAATGATATAAAATTATTTAGACAGTGATCATTTACAAAGCAGGAGATCGACAACATTGTGACAAATTATCAAAGTGTCTTGTTTCCTATCAGATCTCCATCTTGTAAATATTATATGCTCTAAGAGATTGCGCTTAATTATTCGTACTCTGGTCACATAAATAGATTTAAAAACTGCAAAATGGTTAAAAATCTGAATTGTAATTGTGCGAAATATTTAATATACGCGCGCAAATAGTCGAATAAAAAAATTACATTAAAATATAATATACTAGGATATCTGTTCTCTTCATTCATTCATATAAAGATCAGAAGTAGTGGACGATAAATGGCAGCAATAAATTTTAATCAAGTCTATATCTTAGCTTATTTTTCATCTTTGACACATGTGTGTTTAGAAAATGTTCAATACTTTCGAATTCGCTTTTTGAAACATCTTACAGGCCTAAAATGTGCAAGATACAAAAAATACCGTTGGTAATGGATTTTTGGCACTATGTATATTAATTTTCAAGTATATTCATGTGCCAATGTATATAGTAAAAATGTTTTGTTGCAATAAATTTTTACGAATCTTTTTACAAAGAAAAATATTGGAATTTATAAATTGATAAAAACAAGTTTTATATTTAACAATTAATCTATAATACATATGAGAAAGACAAAATTCATTCTGATCTAAATATTCGTGTGAAAAGACGATCGGTTATTAATATAATGATATTTTGTCCCGATAAGAAAAGTATAAAGGAGATCAATTATTATTTTCTCCAAGTTAATATTGTTTGAATCTTGCAGAGTGCTCAACGTAGTACATCAATCGAGACGTAATACACTTCGCAATATGATTAAGTTAATGGCTTACGACTTAATAGCTATTACGGTCGCATCTATCAGTTATCTTGTATAATATTTTTTTATTATAATATGTGCGTATAAGGATATGAAATATCGTAAAAAACCTCTGTTTCACAATTCTGCGACGACAACAGTGTCTCGCTTGCTCTATTATCACATATATATATACGATGATAGATTATAAAATATGACATATACATTTTGAGACCATTATTGACATTTGGCATTGCCGAAACGAAGATAAATCTGGCACTGATGCAATAAGAAATGTTGACTTCATTGAGAGGAATAATTACATTGAAAGACCTAATATCGGTATAATACTGGTGTTTTCCTTTTATTAACGACAAATTGGATATTATGGCTGTCGCTTCAAAAATGGCACATATTTTGAATTTTCTTCCTCATTTATACAAAAAAAATCTTTCATTTTAATGCACATTTGATTTCTAGCGATTAATTAAATAGTCGTCAATAATTGTCTCTGATACAATTAATACTCGTTCACACTTGGTATTGGAAAGCATAATGAATATATTTGTTCTAAAAAGAATTATTCATCCACTGAACTTTCAAACTGATACTCATTAAATGGATAGAAGCTATTGTCAAATCGTATTATATAAGTTTTCTTCAATTCTCTTGACAATAATTAAGCATATTCTATATCTATATATATTATATTATATTTTATATATATATATATATATATATATATATATATATATATATATATATCTCTATAGTGATAATAATACTATAGAATTATTTGTAGCTAAAATGTGTCAAGAAATCGGCAGTCGAAAAAAATGATTCGAGACTAGAGCTATAATCACGCATTTGGTTTTATAAGAACAGTATTTTCATATCAATGCTGCATCATTATATGTATATCAAATACTGTATTGATTATATTACCAAAGATTATAAATCACTTGTGTCATTCGATTCGCTTTTTAATTTTTACTTTTTTATTACTTTAAATTAATATTTATAACAAGGCCTGAATTTCTTATTTCTCTATGTGTTGAAAAATGCGTTTACAAAAATCTTAAGCTAGGCTTACGAAAAAATGAGTATTACTTGCTGTAAATTGATATAAAACACTGTACTTATCGCTTACCTCTTCCAAAAGAACATTGTTGGAAGTATATCTCAAATACAACTCACACACCTCTTTCTCTCTATACACAGTAATACTGCGATGTTCTTGCGCCATTTTTCGATATATAATTTTAACTTGTAAAATAATTACGGCTCTCTAACAACCAGATTTTTGTTTGCATCTATCCATAGATCTATCCTCAATTTTCACTCGTCCTGAAATAACGAATTCTAATATTAGTCATCAATTTTCATAAATAAACTTTATTATACATTTTCTTTCAATTTTAAAACTTGATATTTTTTGCTATTTTTTAAATAAAATTTAATATATAACTTTATCTTTAAAAAAATATCATTTTTCATACAAAAATAAAAAGTATATTAAATAAAAATGACTTAGCAATGGTACATACAATGTGTATATATAGCATAGCAACTATTAATAAGTAATGAAGAAACTTAAAGATATTAATGTTAATAAGTAAATAACTACTTAAAAATAAAAATGTAAATAAGATATCTACCCATTCATGTTCATCGACACCTTCCATGTGATCTTGTTCTAGTGAACATTGAATAACATCTCCCACAAAATGGCTCATAGTTCTCTGCATCTGATACATACATGATATCGTGATAAAATAAAAATAAAAATGCTTCATGCAATAAGAATTTTAATGGACAACATTTCTTATGCTGCGTGATATGCATTAACAATAAATCATCTTTACATTAATATTTATGAAGTGCATACAAAGTACATAAATTTTATTGCCTTCTCACCTCTTCTTGTTTCGCTTTAATATCTGGATTCCATCCTAGTCTATTGAAAGGTTGCGTAGAGATACCAAAAGGGATTGAGGATGGTTTATTTGCGACTTGAGGAGGAGTAACTGCATTTTGTTGCGACTGATTCTCGGTCACTATGAATAAAAATACGCATGTATCAAATAATCGGGAGCATCTCTCATTTTAACAATACATTTTTTACTTACAATTATCCATACCAGGTGGCTTGAGATTTATTCTAGATGGCTGTTTATTACCACCGTTAAACCATTCTGTCGCAGATAAAGTCGGTTTCCAGATAACTTTAGTTGGAGGAAAGAGATCATCTTGGAATAACTCACTCTAATTTAAACAAACAAATATATCAGCATAATTTTATATTAAAAATTTCATATTTATCCTTTTTAATCATGTATGTACCTTTATGCGCGGCACCGTAAAACTCAGAGGCTCTATTGTATTATTTGTTAGCCTCAAAGCGGAAGCAAACTCTACAATGGCCACGTCACATTTATTTTTTGGAAGGAATGATAAACCCTGATGCAAACTACTGCACCTGTGATGGCTTAACGGACAGCAATATGGAGGTTCCTCAGTTACTTCAAATGCGTATATTGTAGAATCACCCTAAAAATAATATATTAATATTGCAGTAAATTTTTCTCATGCAATTAAAATATATAATTGTAAAAAATATCTCTTACACGTCCGGTTAGGAAAAGCGTGGAGCTATCCTCGTCGTAATATGGCATTAATATGGCAGGGGAAACATCCAATCCAACAGTGTTCAAAGGAATATTTAGATTATCCATTTTAAATATGTAAATTTGTCTTTCAGAAACTCTGAATATATAGAATGTAGTTATTTCTCTATCTGTATCTTTTTTTCTCTCTTTTATACTATACAAACATTTGTGATTTGTATTATGCTTACTTATCAAATCCCATTACAACGAGATATCTGCCTTCGAGCGCCCATACAACTCTCGCACCTCTCGTACCAACTGGACCCTTCCCTTCTTTCACGGGAACGTCGCTAGATCGAGGTTTGTAGATTCGTAATTTGCCGTCTTTGCATGCACTAGCAAGATACTGACCACATGGCGACCATGCCAAGCTAAATATCTGATCCGTATGACCGATCAATGTGATCTTCGCAATCACCGTTTCAGTAGACGATAAGAGTGACAGATCCCAAACTTTGACAGTCATATCGTACGAAGCGGACGCGAGGACGTTTGATGCCAATGGATGAAATTTGATCAAATAAATCTTATCAGCGTGAGCTTCTATAACGTGTTTCGGTTCGTTTGTCGGTTCCGCTAAACCAGACTCTGGTATTTCCCATAATCGAATTATTCCGTCGTCACAAGCTAGCGTACAAACAAACAAAGTACATGTCTTAATCTTCCCCAATTTTATTAGACAAAATAATACTTTTT